TCAGTGTAGGATTGGCCACATAAAGCAAAACACAGAGTGGAGTGTTCCAAGATGCCTATAATTACTTGAGGTTTAAGTTGGAACCTACATATAAATGCTCAGTTGTTTACAGTCCTGTTAGTCTACCAGCACCCTGGAAAAGGGGGACTATGTATATAGTGTATTGGTGGATTGTGATAACAAATGCCATAAAAAGGATGGACTGCAATAGAAAGCTTTAGTTTTGAAGAACAGCAGAAGCAACTTCATCTGATGCTTGTTTGATCAACCTCTAAGTAGCAGTCTCCGGAGACTGTAGTTAGAAAAAGAAACAGTGGCTGAAACGAAGTAATTTCAGGGCAACACAATCCTGGACACATTAACAAACGTATTTTAGATCAATTTAAAGCAAAGTGGTAAATACTAATGTTGTTGCTATGCAAAATGACCAAGTCCACTCACTCGGGACGTAGAAGGTATGTTAATACATGCTCTACTCCAAACAATATTCTTTAGATTATTCAGTGCTTGGCACATAATGTTCCTAACACATTGCAATTCAGTGCTCCATAAAGCAGCATATGAGCAAATCAGTTGGTCCATATGCACCTGCGTGGTGAAATCTGAAAGGGAGATAACAAGACTTATAAAATCAAATTCCTCATAGCCCCTGTGGATCCTTGAGGTTCTCCTGTTGCTTCCCTCAGGTGATGAAATCAATTGCAACATTTCCTTCTATATTTGACAAGTAATTGAATTAATGAGAAATTTAGGCTCTAGTTAATAAATAATAGTAATAATAATAATAATAATAATAATAATAATAATAGGATTACCCCAGCTACACTGGGCAGCTTCCAACAAAATACAAGGGGAAAAGAAGATACAAAACTAATAAAAAGTTTACACATCTAATAAAACATTTACATGGTTTGCAGTTTGTTTGAAAGTGTGGATTGGAAGTGGATACAGGGTTTGCATGAGTTATATTCATTGTTTCTTTTGTATACTTTATTCTAAATAAAAATTGCTCATTGTTTCTTTTGTATACTTTATTCTGAAGAAAAATTGCTTTTTTGAATGCTACAAAATTAACAGTCTTGGCCAGTTTGTTATTAATGACAACTTCTTCATACAGCTCATTGCAGCTCTAGAGAAATCACAAGGTGGAACAGCACCCACCTCACTGTGTATTGGTAGGGAGAATTCTCATGGCATTCAAATTCAACCTTTACTCCTCTGACAACCTGTTGGGTAGGTGGGGCAGAGGTGATGGCAGTAGAGAAGGGGGTGGCCCTATCCACTAGTGGCTTCAAGCTTCCCCACCTGAGGCACATGTCCTCAACAGATTACTCCCAAGGGAATGTGGCCCTTGAGAGAATGAAGTTCTCGCCACACATACATTACTATTTTTTACTAATTTTGTTTATTTGATCTTACAGATTTGTTTTTGTATTGTTTTCATTTTGTTATAGTTTAATTACTCTTTAGCTATTATATTTGATGTGTTTTCAGCTTTCTATGTTTTATCTATGTTTGTTTGAGCTGCCTTGAGTTCCAGTTCTGCGGAAAGGTGGATGATGATGGTGGTGGTGATGGTGATGATGAAGAAGATAAGTCACCTTTGTCCACAAAAAAGTCATGCCCAGAAGCACAACTTTAATTACAATATTTTGGTCCTGTGGAATTAAATTAATTGATACAGCTTCCAAATCCACACTTTAGGATCTGAACAGTATCAGATAAATAATTGTCCCTTCACATGTACAAGCAAAATATAAAGCAACCAGGCCTGACAATTCAAATGATTAAATGTTTTTTGTTGGGAGCACTGGAAGGAGAGATTTATCTGGAGGCTTTCATACACATATCACTGTTAGCATCAATCACATCCATGAAAGAGAGGAAACGAAATAATCTCTACTTTCAGATCTAAAGAAATAAAGTACAAATGCTTTCAAGCAGACATAAAACCTATCATTGCAAAGTGTTTGTGTCTTTATCCACTTAACACTGTCATAAAATTCTAGATATAATTATCCATCCTATTGAATTTGAATGAAGTTGCTTGATGCACAGCCTAATTCTGTGTATGTATCAGAAGTCACATCCCATGACTTCAGTGGGATTTACCCCCATGTAACTGTGCATAGGATTTAAGTATTGATTCCTTTGGGTTGCTTGCTATGTATTAATTATTAATATTGCACATATTAAATTCATAACAATAATCCTTTCTGTGCTATTCAGTAATGCAGAGCTATAAAATTTATATCTGAAACATGGGCCCTGCAATCCTATGGTTCCAGAGACCATAGGAAGGCCTGGTACTCTCTCACAGGATGGAAAGAGAGCTCTGACTTGCTCATTTCCCACCACTGTAGATACCTCTGCAGCCTTTGTCCTACTGACATTGGAGCTCTAACATCAGTGATGCAAAATGGGAGTATACAGCAGGCAGGCTGAGGGTACAGATGCAAAGCATGCAATACCCAGACACTAGGAAGAAAAGTACACCAGCCCCAACACTGCCCCGAGTTAGAGGGAAAACACAGAAGCCCTGGAGCTCAAACTACACCTAACCAGAGAGAGCACTACACTGATGAGAGGGAAATTGTTAACAAACTAACAAAGGAACCTGGAAAAGGATTGAGGTACATAAGAGTGCTGCTCAACCCTGACTTCCACCCTGCTGCTGAGAGCCCCATGGGATGTTGAATGAAGTGAGTCAGCATTTAAGACTGTCACCCTAAATGAATTCAGTGGGACTTAAGAGAAAAAGCAGCACAGGGATATACAGTAAAATGTTTATTCTTCATATTAGTAGGCTCTATGACTAGTTTGTAGAAAATCGATTTCTTTCTGGTAGAGACATTTTTGTATTTTTTATGGCACAATTGTGCAAAATAAATAAGATACCAAACATACCAAATAAGAGTGCAAAGGGGTACTTTGTGAGTGCCATCAGACTTTGTCACATTCATTATAATGTTCCCTGTGCTGCTATCTATTTTATACATAAGATCACCCGGCGTTCTCAAATATGCTAAGGAACAGACAGTATATTATTTTACCAGATGAGTAGGTAGCTGAAAATGGAGGTAGAAAATATGCTTTGTTGAGCTGTGGGATTTTCAGCATCTATGAACCTGCATGAAATCATAAAAGCAATCTGACAATCTTTGGCCTCTCGGATTACTGAAATAATGTATGTGAAGTGATGTGAGCACTTACAAATGCTAATGTCATCAGGCATTTCATCTGATGACTGGGTGGTAGAAGGCCTGTACTCACCTTTACTTCCCCCACCCGCCCTTTAGTGTCTCTTGTGTCTTGAGAAAAAAGTAGTGAGATAAAGCACAAGTTTCAAGTTAACAAGCCCAAGTCTGCATGGGACTAACACAGTGAGGAAGAACCTTTGGACCTCCAAATGTTGCTGACCTAAAACTCCTATCATCCATGGTTGCCGGGGATGATGGGAGTTGCAATTCAGCAACTTCTGAAGGGCCAAAAGTTCCTTGCACCTGGACTAACATCTGGCTGCTCTCTGGCAGCCATTACCAGTGGTTTGGCTGATTTTCTGCAAGCATAGGCTGCCTTTCATGGTGGCCTCTTTCCATGAGGTTCATGGAACATGAGGTTCCATGAGAACATCTGAGGACTGTGGGAGAGAATTTGCACCTCCCTATTAGCTCTTGTATTGGAAGCCACCTCAGGAAATTCCGAAGTTGGCTCAGGGAAACCCCAAATTTTGTAGAAGTACAAAAAAATATATGTTGTTGGGAGGCACATAAATGCAGTCTAAGGAAGACTCAGCATGCTCAGTGGCTAAATAATGTGACTGTTAGGAGAAAACAAGAAGGGAAACAGCATGGAGTATCCTGGAAATGGGCACAGCTGGGACAGTGAACAGGAGCACTCCACACTGCAAGGTCCCCCTTGTCATAGTGTGTGCATGACTTTCTCACAGTATTTTGGCAAACGTAGAACAAGGTGGACCTTGACATGGAAAAATATGGTATGTTTCTTGTAGTTCAGTGCTTTATCAGCCCTTTCAAAATGGCCAGCCAGCTTAGCAGCCACTGGCCAGACTGGCTCCTTCTTCTGCCCAAAGGGTTCAGAGCATCCCTTCACTCAGGAGAGAAGCTCCTCAAGAGGCAAACCAAAGAGGATTCCTCACTCCATTGTCTCCACGCCTTAAAAAAACCCCAACCAAACAAGTATAAGAGAGATGGAAGTCATCTCGACCTTCCTTTTGTTTTTGTTTTTAAGGAACGGCAACCAGTCTGAAGGTAGAACTCCTCGCACTGGGAGGGAGAGAGAACATGCTGCAAGAAGGGCGCCTGAGGCGCCTCAAGATGCTGCCTCTGTCTTCACCTACTTAGCGAGCCGCCGCCGCCGCGATCATTCTCCTCGCGGGGGGAATTAAGAGCTCGCCGCCTCCCCCAAGCGGGGCGCCATCATCTGCCCAGCGCTTTCCGTGGGTGCTTAAGGAAGCAGATCCCCTCTCCTTAATTCCTTTCCCGCCTCACAGCCGTTGAAAGGGGCGTGTTATTAGCACCTCATGGAATAAGGAGCCCTTCCAATTTATGGACATGTACACTTATGTACTTATGCGTCTATGTGTTCCTGCAGCAGCTTCTTAGCAAAGGCCAAAGGCGGGAAAGAGCCTGAGAGACGAGGCGCGAGGGAACGTCTGCTATTGGCTCCAATCCTGCAGTTTATCTATGCAGGTGGATTCTTTCCTAACCAGCTGCCTTTTAATTGGAAAACACTAAACGCGCAGGTGGAGGAGGCACAGGGAGAGAGAGAACCTCCGTCCCTCGCCCTCCTTCCCTATAATGACCAGGGCGGAGATGCGGGGAGACTCGGGAGCAGGCGGCCGCGTGACACGGAACAGCAACAGCCAATCAGAGAAAAGGAGCTCGTCTTCCTGCCCCGCCCGCCCCTGAGTCTGAATGTGCCTCTCCGCTAGCGTAGGTATATCTTCCCTTTTCTCCGGCGCAAGTACTGTAGAACGTTTTTTATGGCCAGAGTTATGGTGGCGGTGTTCTTGAGGAATTATCCAGGCTGTTTCTCTGTTCTCTCCTTTTTTAGTGTGATACAGAAACCAGAACAAAAACAGATCCAGCAAACCCACCCGCCCACCATGACGGGTTGGCTTGTTAAGCAGCTTGGCTTGTCAGGTGCGTTGCTATCTTAGCTCTCGCCGTGGAGTAGAAGTAAAACGCAGCAGAATCGGATGGGGGGGGATGGGAGAGTCTCCGCGTTTGGGACTCTCTAAGGCTGTATTTTTCGGAGTCAGAGGAGTCGCCGTTTTCTTTCTCCGCTTAGGGAAATATAAGGAGTCGAGAGTGGGTTGCTGCAAAAAGCTGTGCAAACAAAACGCCTTCCCATTCTAAAGGGCGATGGATGGAGCCGAGCACCACCCAGTAACGCAGCTTTGAGCAGCAAGCTTTTTTTTTTCTCCTTTAAAAAGAAAATCACCATCGTGATTGCAGTGCTTAAATCTTATGGCGTCTTGAGGATCCCTTTTTTATGTGATGGTTTTTGATCACAAGTCGCCTGCTGTGAGACACTCTGATGTAAAACTCCCACCAGGCACCTGCTTGCTCGTCGGCGCCTTTTGGCGTCTGAAATGAATTTATGCTAGAGAGTCTCTCAAGCCTTTCTGCAGGTCGAGACACTTAACCCGGTGCCTTTGTCCTCACCCCAAATGTTCAGAAGTTGGCCCGTTGGGATACTAGTGAAGGAAAAGGCACTCAAACACATGCTCAAACACTCCGCGGCTGGGTTTGGGGACTGAAAGGGGGCTGCTTACGTTATTCGGTGATTTCTAGTATGTGCTCCGACTTTGACCCACTTCTCCCTCCCTTGCTTACACTTCCCTTACCCTTACACTTATTTGGGGATCAAGCACCATGAAATAAATGAGGCTAGCTGACTTCCAAGTAAGCTGCACGTTAATTCAGTTTAGCCCTGAGAAGCGGGGATGAGCAGCCACCCGGAGACCCAGTTCCTTATGCATGTAAAACACCTATTAAACTCAGCTTCACGCTTCTGGCTGTTGGCTATTCCGACTCTCCTCCCCGTCCCCCCCTCCCGGTGGAAGCAACGGCATGTGACTCCCCCCCCTCTTTTCCTCCTCTTTCAGCCCCTGCAGAAAACAAAAGCTGGTCGCCCCCTGACGAGGGGGGGGGGATCGTAACTTTGTGCAACACGTGCTCGTTGCAACAGTGGCAGGGAACTCGTGGACTTGCTTGGGGCGGAATGCCTAGCCGTCTCTTCCTTGTAGTTCAGATCCCGACGAATCCTTTTTCTTTCTCTTCTTCTAGTTTAGCGATTCTCGTCTTCCCTCCCGGCTGGACAGCTGCGTACGATCGAGCAGGATCTACGCCCCCACATTTGGGGCAGCAGCGAGAGGAATCCATGGCCGTCGAAGAGATTCTGGAATGATGGCAAATCTCCTGCAGGAGGAGGGCGGCGGACCTTCATTTGCCCCCGCAAATTAATTACCTCTTCAGGGAAGCCTCTGCCTTCCGATGGATGGCGCCCCCTTTGCTAACCGGCAGCGCGCTTGAAAACTTCCTTCCCGGTGTCCCGCCGCCTCCTCCTCCTCCTCCTCCTCTCTCTTTTCCCCAGTAGGGGTCGGTTGGGAAAGGGCTTCCCGGGTCGTCCTTCGGAGCGCCTGCTCCACCTGCAGAGGCTGAGGCATTTCTAAGCCACACGCTGGCGAGCGCCCAGGTTCCCGTCCCCGAGAACGAGCCAGGAAGGGCGCCAGGAGGGAGATCGGCGGAGCTGCCCGGCGCTTGGCTTACAGGTCGGCACCCGCAGGCATGGACAGCGCCTCCAGCCTGCACCCCCAGCGCCAGGAAGCGCCGCCGCCGCCGCTGCTGTTGGAGACTCTAGACCGGCTCTCGCCTCGCTGCTGCTGCTGCTGCTTCTGAAAGGGCGATCGCGGCTGCTGCTGCTACCTCTTGGCTCGCCCCCGCCTCCCTTCCCTTTCGGATGGACGCCGCGAAGTAGCTGCTCTGCCGTGCTCCGCTCTCTCCCCCCGCAGATGCAAGCAGGGATCTCAGATTCCCTTCTCTCTCCAGTCTGGAGCTCTCCACAGAGACTTCCACAGAGCCCAGCGCTTGGAAACCTCCGGAGTGCAAGTTGCGACTCTTAAGCAATGGGCGCCGCGGTCGGAAGTCAGCGGGCTAGCGCCTTGCCACGGCGGCGCTTCTCTTAACTGCGTGGATTGGGAATATTGGGGAAACAAGTTTCCAGAGGCGGGTCGGGGAGTTGAAAGTCCGGCGTTCCAGTGAGAGCGAGCATGTCAGCAAGTAAGTGGTGGTGGCTGTTTTTTTTTTTTCGGGGGGGGGTGATGCTCGCCATGAAAAGGTTGCCTCTGGTGTGGCATTTTTTAAATAAAAAATATTAAGATGATAATGCTGCTGTTACTCTCTCTTGGGACCTGGAAGGGGGAAGAGGGCATGGTCCCTGTACTAAATGCAGTTCTACATTTTGGATGGGTGTTCCTAGTGTGCTTTCATTTGCAAGAAGCTCTGTTGCAGTACACCATCTGTCCAGCTCTGAAAAGCACTGGAGATGCTTCTGTTTCAGTGCTGACATTCCTTTGAGACCCTGTGCGGGGTCCGTGAGCACAACAGAGCTAACAGCGCAAATGTGCCTGCCTGCCGTTTTGCCATTAGTTCCCCAGGTAAATGCCAAGTCTTTTGTAAAGCAAAAGGCACATTCGTCCAGCAGTTCTTACATTTCAGCTGTGCCTCTGTTGATTTGTCTTGGATACATAGAGTGTGTTGTTGTTATTGGTGCTCTTCTAAAATATCTTTTTATATGCAGCCCATGTGCTGTGTGTGTGTGTGTGTGTGTGTGTGGTCTGTTTCTTGCCTCTGGAGCTACTTACCCTTGTGAGGGTCACTGTGGAGATGGAAATCTGTCACAAAAATGGTCGCTGAATCCTGTATGATTTCAGTTTAGTGTGGTGTCTGAGTCTAATATTAAGTTTTGTGTGTGTGTGTTTTTGAAACATATTCTAAGGCCTATGGAACTGTAATCATTATTATCTTGAAACTCATCAGTTGTGGCAAGCCTGTCACATTGAAAACACTGAGATCTCCACTTCTCCCTCTCAGCACAATTAGTGAATGGAGCCAGCCGGCTATTCTCTCTTCCTTGAGACTGCAAACTGCAATCTTTTCCACATTGCCCTTGCTTTTTGCATTCTGCTTTACCCTCAAAGATTTGCAGAGTAAGAGCCATTAAACAGATTTATAGGCAATTGTGGGCATTTGTCTACTAGCTTGATCTGTTCCAAGTGAGCACATTAAGATCAGCATGTGCAGCTATCGAAGGTGCATGTGGGGGGGAGGCGTGGAGGCAGAGAAGGCTTTTCTTTTGGTTTGACTTGCATAAATGAACTTTGCCACATATTATGGTAAGGAGTGGGATTGCATGCAATGATATCTTGATGTATGTTGCGGAAAACTAAACTAAAATGAAATTGGCAGGTTTGTATCTGGGATGCTGCCCAGTAGTTTGATTTAAAAAAACCAAAAAAACCCAACCAACCAACCATAAAGCTTCCCTGTTTGATGCACTTTATTCTGGCCCGTGCTTCCAACTTTGGGTATTTTGTGACAGCCATTATTAGTAGATACAATTAAATGTATTTTCAGCATATTGTAGCATGATATTTTAGCTGTACATCGTAGAGAACATGGATTGTAATAAGCTCTTTGGGGCAGGGATCAATGTGCACTTTCCTTATTACAGATAGGTAGCCGTGTTGGTCTGCCATAGTCAAAACAAAAAAAATTCCTTCCAGTAGCACCTTAAAGACCAACTAAGTTAGTTCTTGGTATGAGCTTTCGTGTGCATGCACACTTCTTCAGATGGTATCTGAAGTAGTTGGTCTTTAAGGTGCTACTGGAAGGAATTTTTTTTTTTCACTTTCCTTATGTTGCTCTGTATAGTGCTATATCTGCTGATCTTGTTGGAATAAAGAGAATAATTATTTAAATCAGTTCATAGCAAAAGGCGGAATATATAATCCATCTTTCAACCAGGTATTGTACCTGGCTGTCACCAGGTGAGGAAATAGGTCCTGTATGTTAGCTGTCTAAATGCACTTCCAGAACTGCATCAGCAAGGTTCATATTTCTCAGTCATAAGAACCTGAAGTGTTTTTAGATTGTTGGGATGATAATTTCTACCTGCTGTGATGATGACTGCGTACACACTTTAGGCATACCTCATTTTATTGTGATTCACTTTCTTGTGCTTCACAAATACTGCTGCTTATGAGGCTATATGGGTGCAGCTGTAGGGAGTCTGGCTGCTTCCAGGGGAAGGAATGGGATGGTGATGGGAGTGGAGTTGCCTAGTGCTGGATCTGGGTTCCCCCTTCTCCCCCCTGCTGTCAGGGGAGCATGGCTTAATAGACTTCAGTACAGTGTAAATATAACTTCTATATTCACTGAGAAATGATTTGTGTGTAACTTGCTTTATTGTGGTGGTCTGGAAAAGAACCCGCAATATGTAAGAGGCATGCCTGTGTACCTTTAGCACTGCCTCCTAAAAAAAGAAAAGAAAAAAGAATTTTGGGCACTGTAGTTTAGAGAGCTACAATTCCCAGCAAACCATAGCAAACAGCAGCCCAGAATTGTTTGAGAAAAAAATGTGCTTCAAAGGTATAGCATTTACACACCCTACCTGCCTGCCTGGTCTTAATGTTAATTAGAGGGGGAAGACTTGATTGGCAATGCAGTCTGCCTCTGAACTATACATATGGACTTATTGGAGTAGTTCCCCATGCAGTGGCAGAGAGGCAGTCTTTCACTAAAGTGCCTGTACAATACTGTGTACAGAACGCTAAACCTTGCCTGAAGGCTTGGGATTTATTTAGTGCATTAGAGTGGTCCCCTTTTACAAGCAGAAATGACTTAACAGTAGCTGATGAGATAAGCAGATGATTTTTGGGAAACCAGGGGTCCTCGACCAAATCCAGACACCAAATGCATGTTTTGTTTTCTGTCCTCATATAATTCTGCGGTTTAGCCTAATACTGTCATGAGAACTAATGGACTTAATATGTGCCTTGCTTAAGTGGAGGATGGGAGGGGGTCCTACAATCTGGTGACTGATCAGCACAGTGTAGTGATTCTGGCTAGACAAACTAATGAGATGTTAATAGAATCATAAAATCATAGAGTTGGAAAGAAACCCCGAGGAGCCCCTGTTTTACTAAATTACTTCAGCTACAAAAAAAGCCAAGGAAGGCATGTTGGAACATATCCCCCCCCCTTCAAAAACCACATTCTGGCAATACTTTCATTAGGACCACTCAAAGTTTCACAGAATAGTGACCAAGTTTTGGAGTTCACCAGAACTCTTTAGCAGGCTGGATGTTAAACAAGGGTGCGAGATGGAGGAGGAGTAGCAACCTCCTCCTTTTTGTGTAACATCTAGCGGCTAGCCTGATAAAGCAATCTGGAGAAATAAGTTTATTCTCTCACTTTTTCAGCTTAAATAGTTAGATGAGTCATTCTGTTTTTTGGGTCAAAGTAGTTTTTCACATACTTTATTAAATAAGTTGTTTTGTTCCACTAAAGTGCTAAGCAGAAGTAAAGGCCAATTTGTGAACAAGAAAAAAACCCCAGTAGCAACCACAACTGTGTTGTAGTCACTTAGAAATTGATGAAGGAATCATATTACCCCCTTTCACATGTGCCTCTTAGTGTCTTCTCATATCTGCTATTCATATGCAGGCAGGCAATAATTTAAATTATTTAATTCTGACTACTATTTTACTATTGTAAAATGTAACTTGTAATCCTAACCGTGTCTACTCGGTTAAATTCAGTAGTAAGTCCTATTGAATTTATCATAAAGAGAGCATGTTTGGATCAGCCCTAGATTTCAAAACAGGTATGTTTTATAATAGAAACAAAGTTGGAAGATAGGATAGCTCTGATTTCAGCTGGGGGGGGGAGGGATATGCATTGGCGTATGCCCTTTCAAAGTCCTCCTCTCTTTCCCATGCATATCTACTTAGAAGTAAAGGCCGTTGAGTTAAGTGGGGCTGATTCCCAAATATGTATGCATATTGGATCCTCAGTCTTATTTGGCTTGTATAATTTGCTAGAATTAATGCCATTGTATTGATGATTTTGCTGTAGATGTCCCAAAAATTCTGCTGACTTCCATTAGAGCATATTTCTGACTCTTAAGACTACAACTATATTCAATACATATCCAGGGATATTAAAAAGCTGTTTAAAAGAGAAGAGCTAAGGCTTTCTTAGGTGCACTCCAAAGCACGGAAATTGCAAGTTAAGCTGTCCATACACAATGTAGGCAGTAAACCTATTCTACAGTCCTGCATATTGTGCTTGCTTACAATTTAGTCCTCTGCACCCACACTTCCCTGCAGCCTTTCACCTTCATGCTCTGCAAATAGAAGAACACTGAAGCTGAGGCCACAATGAGGGCAATCGCCACCAGGTTTTACACTGACCTGCTTTAAGTCAGTAAGAGAATGGAGGAGGTGAATCTTGCATATATGGGAGATGGGAGAACATGTTTATTGCTGACAGACTGTCAAAATTAACATGGATGCAGTTCTCATGCTTTTCAATGCATGAGTAAACCTGTAAGCCTAATTCTTCAAATGATTTTTATATTTGAATTTTCTGGAGGCCACCAAGATGGAAGAAGTACCTCATATTGATGTCCCTCAGAGCTTGCATTAAATGCTGAAAGATATGAGCTTCCCTCTCAGCAGCTGAATCCCTTATTGACCCCAGTGCTTTTTGAATCACTTCTATAATCTTATATTTTGCTAGAATGTCTGTACCTGCTACATTTTGTATAGAAAACTGACTTGCAAGGAACATCTATAGTGTGTATGGGCAGGAGAATCAGCAACTGGAAAATTTTCAAATTGTCATAAGGATTTCTTCCCCCTATGCAAAAATGGGAGATGTGGAAGGAGGGGGGGATAGACTAATTGAAATACTTCTTGAAGTAGTGTGTTAGAATATTGTTCCAGCCAATGACACCACTGCAACTCCCAGATCCTGGCTTCCAAGATGGTTATGATAATATTGCTCCCACGTTTGTCTGTATTACTAGGCAACCAACACTCTTAGGACTTGATGGCCTTGTAAGAACCTTCTTCCCTCTGAGGGCTGTATTCCCTCATGGACAGCCTTATGGAGTATGCCTGCCAGTGGTGGGTGGGTCCAGAGACAAAGTGTGTGGAGCAACAGATGGTGACCCTTTCCTCTGTATATTGGATACATTCCAACCAGAGACTAAT